TTTCTGAGAGAGATGTTTTAATTTATCTTTGAGGAAAGTTCTACAGGCTGCACAAGTGGGGAAATCACACTGGATAACCACAGTAACCCATTTTGGCTTTGGGACATACAGATCTACAAAGTTTCAAAGACAGTGCAGAGAAAGGAATATTTTTGCTACTCTCTCAAAGTTCGTAGCACTACAGTTCCAAATGCCTATAATAAATTATTTGATTGTCAAGTCAGTTGCCCTGTTCAAAGCTCAGGAAATACTTTCCATCCAGTGCAGAAATGACAAAATGTACTGTTGGGGGAACACGCAAGCTCTCCCACTTCAGGCACATCAAAACCAACAGCTGAAGATAGTCTACTGCGTTGACTGCCCTACAGAAAGGGCTCTCCAACACAGAACTAACCTGGACTAAGGAGGTTTTTCATGTTTCTCGATATTATGTATGCAGCTCATCTGTTGGCATCAGCTGAATATTTCCCATACAATGAACATACCTGCAGCTGGGGAGACTCCAGGTTTAGCAATATTTCAGTCCAACTCTTCATCAGCAATAGCCAAATTAAACTTTATACAAGACAAAGGGTCCATCTAGCCCAAAATCCCACCTCTACAACTTGCAGTCCCTCTACCCAGCCCTTGAACTACTTGTTGAGATTCTGCTACAGTTTTCCCCTTCATTTCTTTATCACAAAATCACAAAGTTAAGGAATCTACTTATAAATCCTCTCCTGGCCCTGGCCAGCCATAGCAAGAGGAGAGGGAAGCTTGAAAAAAGTGAGGGTAAAATGCCAACAAGCACAGGGTCTGTTTCTGCTCCCTCACCCTGTCACATCTCCGAGCAAAGCACCACTGGGCAGCACCCAACAGTTCCCCGGATGCCTTTAGAGCACAGAATGCTGTTCAGCAATACTCTGTGCTCAGTGTCCTCTATTTTTACTCTTTTGACCTTCAACCTCCAACCCCATACATGTGCCCTAATACTTCAGCTTTCCTCATCTCTGTTTATTCTCCACCTGCTTTCAGAGGAAGACAGGATTTAGATTTGTTAGGGACAGGCTAACACCAATTCATCATGGAAAAAATCCTACAAAAACAGCAAAGACATTCCCTACAGACAAATAAAGGGAAGCACCAAGCATTTGCCCTGTTCTAATGTTCTCCTAGATGGCAGATAATTTCAGCTGTTCTCAAGTGGATGAACTCTGCCTATTTAATAATCTTCACAAGATTCCCTCCTCCAGTACTTCCAACTCTGAATGCTTTTTGCATCCACTGGCAAAAAAAAAAATATACTTGTATTACCTTTTGTGTAAAGACTCTTTTTAGGCCTGACTCCTAGCTTAATACTAGAGGAAACAGTCAGCTGCTGTTTGCTATCCAACCTCTACCAGCGATGGTTTTGTACACTTCCATCGTAACCCCTTTAAGTTATATTCTTCTAGACACCATTTGACCTTTGACTTCTACTTGAAGTAGAAAATGCTAATAAAAGCACCTCTGACAAACATTGGTTATGACTCCTGTGAGATCTTTCACAATAAATATCACAATGTCTCTAATTATGTAAGCATGATACGGAAACAATCTAATGCTTATAATATGCTTCTGAATGACAGTGACTGTCACTCCTAAGCAACGTAACTTTCACCTCAACTTTCCAGTTTCCTTCAATGTAGTCAGAAAACATTAAGCTAATATTTTACGGAAATCCAAGTGGGCTGTTTTTGACAAAGATGCCCTCACTCAATAAAATTAAACTGTCGTGGAATAAGAAATGCAATTCAACTATGAATTAATGACTAACAGATAGGAAATAAGTTGGAACAATTGGCTTTTTTCCCCAAAAAAGAAGGATCCCCAGTGGAGTCCTACAAGGACCTGTTCTGGGATCAATACCTTCAACATCTTAAAGCAAAATCTAGCAAAGAAGCTTAACGCTTATGTGACAGAGTTTGCTGACAATGCTTAAAGCTTTTCAAGGTTGAAAAAGTGATGGCCAAAGATCTGAAGACCTTAATGATACTGCGTAAGTGGGCTGTAAAATAGCAGATAAGATTAAATGTAGATAAATGTAAAATGATGCATAGTGTAAAAAAAAAAAAAAAGCCTAAATTATATACACAATGACAAATTCTGAACTAGCTATTACCACTTAAAAGAGTGATTGTGGAGTTATAATAGACAGTTCCACAGAAGTGCCAACACCATGCATAAAAGATCATCAAGATAAAGCAGGTAGAATATTAAAGAATAAAAACTAATATGCTATCTAAGTTTACAGGGTGTCCTATGCTGAAACGCTGTAGCCAGTCCTGGTTATTGTTCCTTAACCCTGTTCCTCTGATCCCTGCATCTCTATCTCCAATCAGGAACAGACCTGCAAAAGGTATAAAGAAAAATGAAAGGACAATGAAAAGGAGTCACTTCTTTCTAAAACACCTCTGGAAAAGTCACAAGCAAGGGATGATAAATAAAATAAAAAGGTATCAGTCTCTAAGCCACACAAGAACAACATGGATTCTCCTTTTCACCGCCTCTTCCAATACAAAAATTAAAAAAACAAGACCTGAAACAAGCACGTAGAAAAAACACTTATTTTGTTTGGTTTTGAACAAGTGTTTTTTCCACACAAAATATGCTTAAGCCTTACAACACTCAGCCACAGGATGTTGTGGATGCTACAAGCATGGCTTCAAATACTGATTGGACAAACTCATAGAAGAAAAAACCCAACGGGGGCACTAAAAACAAATATCACCTCCAGTTCCGGAAACCTGTGAGCCACAAATTACTGGAGGCTGGGAGAGGTATTTCCTCAATATACACTATACTCTCCTCCAAGCATCTGCTTTTGGCAGTGCAGAGAGGCAGGATACTGGGCTAGCGGGATCTTTAATGTGACCAAGCACAGTCATTTTTAAATTCTTATGTAACTCATAAAAAAGTGAAAACATTAATCGTATGTACATCAGAAATATAAGCACAGCACATTGAAGGACCAGATTTTCAAAAGCCTAAAGGTCAGCACAGTGATTAACTACTACAGTCACAGTTTGAGAAGTGCTTTTTCTAACATTAGAGTAGCTTAGTCTCCCCCAACCACAAACTTGTGTAAATGTATGACAAACAAACTGTGAAATCTGAATTTAATTCAGAACGGTTCCCTGCAGCTGTGCACACTGTTGCATTGGTACAGCTGAGGGTGTACTACAGGCTTGGAAACAACAGGGCTACTTAAATCAGAAGAGGCCCCCACAGAAATATTTGTCAAGCTACAAGCTGCATCAGTAGAAACGGAGTATCACACTGCTTTTTGCATCTCAGAAGGCCCTTTCCATCACATCCACACTACCAACTCCTGATTATCTAAAGAAATACTGAATTACTGATATCAAAGACAGAAATGCTGAGAGTAGACTTGTCCTGTTTATTAAATTTGTCCAACACATATATTTATTTCCAGCTGCTTACTGGATTTACAAAACTTCTGCCACTTGAAATGGAAGACAAAAGGGGAGGGGATGAGAGGTTGTCCTTTGAAGTCTGGGGAGCATCTCACATAGGTTGAGTAGAAGCTTTCTTAACTTTAGCTGCAAAACTCCTCAAAGATTCCATCACAGTGAATACTCGCCAGCACGTAAAGATCTGTTACTACAAGTCACATCAGGTCTTAGTCAGAGCACCCAAGATAAAAACAAACTGGCAGACTCCCGTTAAAAAGCCTTGTGCATCTCAAAAACTGGTATTTCTGAATTTGCAGCCTTTCCTGTTTTGCAATGTTAATGTTGTTTTGCTGAAGCTTCCCCAGTGTTCAATAAGTTATATGGTACATAGCGTGTTCTGTATGTATGATTTGCAAAAAGCTTAGTTCACAGCTACCAAGAATAGAAATAATTTCCTCTAATTTTCTTGTCAGTACCATACACAGTATGTCAAAACAATACAACAAACACCTTGCTATTGCATTTGATAGCTCTACCAACCACTATTTTAATGGACAGTCGGCAAGAAACTAAGTCACCTCTTCTGCTTTCAGATTATTTTATTTTCCTGAATAAGGATATTAGTGCTCTTTAATCGTTTCAGGAAGTGTTGAGTATCAAAAGCAGCTGCACCTTTTAACCACCTAGCTAAACGAGGTAGGAGAGAATAAAATTTTAAAACATAGAGCTCTCTTCTTCTAGGGCCCAGTCTGAAAAATCTGTATTGAGATATCCACTAGTCAAAGCCCAAATACAAGTCTCCTGGAATTGAATGCAATGTAATGCAGCTTTTCTAGAAAAAAAACTAAAAAAAGAGTAAGCCTGTGCATCTGCAACAATTATGTCAATTTAAGACACCTTTTTGACGAGAAGTCCAAGAACCTAGTTTTTCACTTTGCTCCTAAAAGTAGCAAACCAGCAATGAATTACTGTATCCTGGGAGTCTTCATACTTGTTGTACATTCTCCTTCTCGTTAAATAAAAAAGGACTACTTGCCATCCACATTTTTAAACTGCTAAGCTTCATCCCTCATTTGTCTCTCTTGTAAAACTAGGAATATCAAAAGACATCAAAACAAAGTTTAAGATCTCTTGGGTCTCTTATGCCTGTAACCCTAAGCAGCAATCAGTAGATCTTTTACTGTGGGGGTGAAAGGCTAAAAGGGGACACACTGAACTTACCCACTCTCACTTTTGACAAACCTATGCATTTTCAAATACCCGCGAAGGTATGTTTCCTAAATAAACCACTTTTCGCGTTAAGAATTAAGACCTAAAAAATGCTGGAAAATACACCACAATGAGGAGTGACCTACAGAAGGTTACTAGCAAGAAGTATCCTGTAATTACTGATACCAGCAAGCATATAACACAAACTAGATTTCCCCGCATCCTCCCTCGCGGTTCCATGGGCAGGCAGGGGCAGGCAGGACTTCTGGCTCCACGGCGACTGCCCCACCGCTCACTCAGCGCCGTGCCCTCGGCACACTGACACACCACCGCTCCGATCCCCAGCACCGAACCCACCCTTGGCTCTTCTGGGGTCATCTGCCCCGCGCGTGTAGCGCCAGGGGATGCCCGGGGGATGCGGTCCCAACCAGCGCCGCCGCCCGCTACCTCCCGCCGGGCCCAGCGCAGCCCCGACCCTCGG